TTTTTTTCGTAAATACATAGTCCCAAGCTAAGCAGACCTTGTGATAAGGGCACTAGACAAGTGATCAATAAATCAAATGCATAAATATTTTTTTTTGTAAATGAATACATAATATATGTACATAGAAAACACCCAGACCGATACAAACAATCATACTCACGAATACAAATGTTTGTGCCGTGCGAGGAATCGAACCCGCGACCATCAGACGTAAAGCGGTGTGCTAAACTGCTAGACCTCCGAGGTCGTATATTCCAGGCGGGAGTTGATCTTCAGCCGCTCCATAAGTCAGTGCCATAAGCTGTAAAGGCCAGCTGCGGCCAACAGCATCACAGTAGTCCGGGAAAAAAACATCGTATATCTTCTTTAAAGAGGAATAATGTCTTCTACATATTATCGCAATTATCACAAGAAAGTGTGAAGAAATTAATATGAGTAAAGTAAAAAATGTATTTATTTTTATTGAAAGAAGAATTTATAGTCAGATGAAAGAGACAAGAACTGAGTTTACGAAAAAAGCGTACGACAAAAGTCATGAATGTTTTTTTTTATAGCACAGGGGACAAACGCGCATGCGGCTCACCTGATGGTAAGTGATTACCGCCGCCCATGAGCACCCGCAACACCAGGGGAATTGCAAGTACGTTGTCGGCCTTTAAAAAAGGAATAAGCTCTTTTCTCGAAGGTTTCAATACCGTATCGGTTCGGAAATACCATTGCTGGAAGGTGATTCCACAATGTGGTTGTGCGGGGCAAAAAGTTTCTAGAAAACCGTACTGTGGAAGACCGCCATTCATCCAGATGATCAGGATGGTATTTCAGTTTCTGGCAGGTGTTGAAACTCAGCAGCTGGTATTAATCCGAACAATTCCTCAGAACACTCCCCGTGATATATGCGGTAGAAAATGCACAGAGATGCAATATCTCGCCGCAAAGCCAATGGGTCGAGTCTGTCACATAGACGTTGATTACCAATGATTCCGGCTGCTCGGTTCTGAATGCGGTCAAATGGAATGGAAGTACTGGGTTTTGTTGGAATAGCTGGACTCTTTGAAATAGCTGAACTGAATTTGAGGGGACTGACTGATTGGCAGGTGGCTGATATAATAAAGAGTTACATAGGCTACCCTTATTTTAGCAAAATTCTTTTATTTTATAAAAATGAAGAAAGAAAGAAATAAAATCCACGCGGACGAAGTCGCGGGTACAGCTAGTTAAGAATAAAATCATCATCACCAATGTCCATTATCATGATAAATTTATCATTACACCCTTAGGGTTACTACACCCTTACGGAACCAAGCATCCATCAAGCTTATTCACCATTTCATAACATAAACTGGGCTGGATAAGTTGAAATTAAACTGCATATTGTAGTACTCCATTTTATTTAATTTCTGATAATTATTTACAAGATTTAACAAATATTTTCGGCAGTGTGTATTAGAACTAATATCCACATTCCACATTAAGAATAAAAGCATCATCACCATCGATCATCTTGACAAATTTATTATTACTCTACCGTGAATTCCCGCTGATGACTTTCCGCAGACGCAGTGGCGTAGCTACTTAGGGGCTAGGCGGGGCAGTGCCCCTAGGCCCTCAAACTCAGGGGGCCCTCGAACCCTTACCAGAAAATCTCGATCTAACTGAACTTTTGAAAATTTCTCCCATTTTCAAAATAAATATGATAGGATGCAACCCGAGTTTAATCATGGCAACCCAGTTGAGGGAACTTCGAAAGTTATACATTCCCTTACATACTTTCTGTGGGTTGGTAGTGTTGTCAATTTGACGGATAGCAATATGTGCGTTTTAATAAAACTGTAATATTGGGGCCCCATTTCTTTGATTTGCCCCAGTTAGGTAAGCAAGGGCTTACCTAACTCCGCAACTGCATAGAGTCCATTATTTTGTCTCCTGTACTTTAATAATAGAAAGTTACATTTACCACAGATAAAATATTCAAAGTAGATTGAATACTTTATCTGTGGTAAATGATGAATACTATTTCCACTTAAGAAAGTTTATCAGAAATACTAAAGAACATTATGAAAAATATTGAAATCACTATAAGTTTTTACGGTTCCGGTGATCTAGCGGTTGAGCATACCGCCTTACTTCCGAAGGTCGCGGGTTCGATTTATCGCACGCCACTAACATTTGTATTCATGAGTATTCCATAATACAAATGTATCGGTCTAGGTGTTTTCTATATACAATATTTATGTATAGGTAGTTATTTACGAAAAAAAAAATATCAGATGTCTTGTACTCGTAACACAAGCTTTAGGTAGCTTAACTTGGGTCTAGATGGCGCTGTCTTAATTATCTTGAGATGATTATTAGTACCATTTTAGTACATAAATAATGATATGGAGTTTTTACTGTTTGAACAAACCGCCTCTTTTTAAGATAGTCATCAGTTCCATTTGTTATATACTACAATGGTAGCAATCAAGCATACGGCCTACCTGATGGGAAACGGTTACCGTAGCCTATAATAATGTTAATACTAGATTTAAAGACAAACTTGCTGTCCTCAAGTATCTTTTAGAAAAAGTCAATAGGTCTTTTATGGGAATAGGTATAAAAATTTACAATAAGATACCAAAGGATATATTGAAATTACCCTTAAATAAATTCAAAATATCTGTTAAATCATATTTACTAAGCAAGGCCTATTACTCACTAAACGATTACTTGAATGACGAGCGTGCATGGCAATAGTTGTTCATGCACGGGATTTTCATTTAATGTTAGACATAGACACCTATATAAATATACATTGTAAATAAACTGACTTTTAAAAAAAAATGAATAAAATATTCAATTGAGTTTTTTGCCAGTTCTTCTCAATTGAATGTGTATTGTATAGTGTATACTGAACTGGACGGTAGGAAAAAAATAAAGTTATAATGATGTAAAAAATTTTACGCTCATAAGCGGCTAATATGTCCTATATGAATAAATGATTCTTGACTATAGCGTATATTCAAATTTTAAATTAAAATTTTTTTTTTTTTTATTTTTTTAATTTTTAAATTATTATTTAATCACCAGGGGTGTCACAATGCACGCTGCCAACCCTTAAGAAACCTAAATTTGGCACAATACAAATATGTAACTAACAACGTTGGTTTTTATCTGGCAGTTTGTTTGTGTTTAAAGAAACACATCAACTATTTCGTAGCTACTCATAGTACAGGCTCTGGTTATTTGGGGTTATTTATTTTCTAACCCAGGAGAACTCACGTAGCGCCATCTAGTCCCAAGCTAAGCAGACCTTGTGATAAGGGCACTAGACAAGTGATCAATAAATCTAATGCATAAATACATTTTTTTGTAAATGAATACATAATATACATAGAAAACACACACACCGATACAAATAATCATACTCATGAATACAAAATGTTTGTACCCCGCGAGGAATCGAACCCGCGATCATCGGAAGCAATGTCCTAAACCAATATGTTATTTATTTATTCATTATTTCTCGCTGCATATTAATTAAATATAATTATGTTTAATTAAATGAAATACTATTTTATAAACCAAACTTTTAGTTGTCAAATAATTACTACATACGTGTAAGTCAAATAAAATAATTAACTACATACATGTAAAACATTTTATATTTTAGTTTATATTTAAAATATGTTTAATCAGTACTTTGTACCTTTAAACACAAGAAGAACCTATAGAATGAATATCATCCAACTTTACCTCTAAATGTGGTACACAAGCCTCAGTATCCGACTTCAATCGTTTGACTGAAGTACTTTGATTGACCGGGACAGGTTTATTTAACCCTATATAACCACGAGAGGTGACAAACTAACAAATTTCTCAATTTCGTCGGTTAAATAGAAAAATAGCAGTTATTCGATTATTTATATTATATATATATTTTTTTTTTTGCACGACAATCATTTAAAATTTTTAAATTTATTTTAATAACTTTTTTCCTTTAAAGTTTTAAATTTATACAGAAGTATTATATATCATTTTAAAAGTATTTAGATAATGATTATGACGGCGTGGTTAATTTAATCTAAATATATATAACTCAAAGGTGACCGACTGACATCGTGATGTAACAACGCACAGCCCAAACCACTGGACGGATCGGGCTGAAATTTGGCATGCAGGTAGATGTTCTGACGTAGGCATCCTGACGTAGGCTAAGAAAAGATTTTGATTAATTCTAACTCCAAGGGGATAAAATAGGGGATGAAAGTTTGTATGAAACGTTGTTAATTTTAAACCGATCGGGCTGAGACTTTGCATGCATAAAGCTACCCTCCACCACCCCTATGGGGATAAAATAGGGAATGGAAGTTTGTATAAGTCTTCTTAGATTTTCGACTGATTGAACTGAAATTAGAGATTAGAGCTACTGCGATGAAGATGTTCGCTTAAATAGGATTTTAATAAATTCAACCCCCATGAGGATAAGATAAGGGATGATGGAGGATGTAAATGTATTAGTTTGAACCTATCAGTACCTAATAGAACGAATAAATTAAGGCGAACAAAATAATTTTTAGTTCTTTAGGCTACTTTTATTTTAGAGAAATAAAGTTAAATTCCACGCGGACGTAGTCTCGAGAACAGTTAGTTACTTAGTTAGTTAGTGACTTATATAAAAGGAGGCAATTCTAGATTCTAATTTAGAAAAATGACATTTTTCCATTTAATCGACGATTTACAATGATAATTAAAAATAATTTCTTAAATTAATTTGTCGAATTGTTTCCTATCAATAAATCTCTATAACTTAATTAAATCTATTAACAAGATTACCTGTAATTATTATAATTATAACTACAATTATAAATATTTATAAAAACTTCAATTATATAATTCAATTTTGACAATTTTGGCTAGTTTTTATATTGTGTAGGCCGCGACGATATCCCAATGTATAAAACTCATAAAAATATTTACAAAACTCTTATTTAGAACTGTTGCTCTCTTAAATATTCTATTTCTATATATTTATTTATTTATAATTATACTCGCAGCAGTCTTTATTGTCATATTCATACGTGGATTGTGAAATCTCTCCTCTCCTGCTCCTGCCGTTGTTGATACCTGTAAATAATAGAATAGAATAGAAAATCATTTATTCAAATAAACATTAAAGCACTTTTGAATAGTCATTACATTTTTTTAATCTACCGCTCGTTCGGAAAGCTGTCTCATCACAAGAAGAACGCGCAAGAAACTTGCGTGTTGCTCTTTTAAATAATTTTATTATTACTTTACATTTTTAAGTTTAAGTGTGTGAATACAAACCACCAATTAGCACTAATTCTATTAAATACTCAAATAGAAAAAATATTGAATATATAACCAACTGGTTAAACAATTAATAAGAGGAAATCAGTCATAGTGATTAGAGCAGACCAGTCCCTACAAGTAGCACCCGTTCACGAGTATGACGGATGAGCCAGCCATCACTGCGCTCGACCATATTTTAGGGAGTCCAATGACCCGGCCCACCACGCCGCCACAAGTTTAAATGGTTTATTTATTTCAGGTTCATACAGGGGCGGATCTACCTAAGGGCTTTTTGGGATGCAGCCCAGAGAGGATACAATGGGCCACCAGTCCCCACTGAAACGATATTTAGAAAAGAAAAAAATATCTAGAATGTTAAAAAAATTATTATAAGTTTGGCAACCCTGAGATAAACCCGTGCAAGTGCAGGGGGAATGGGGAATTTCTGGCCGCTTCTTTTTGGTCGGTAAGCCCCTAAATACATTTAGCCAAAGGCCCTACAAATTCACGGTTCGCCCCTGGGTTTATATTTATTTATACACTTCTTATTGTACCAGATTTTTTTTTTTTAATTTATTTTGGTACAAACAGTCATTACAATTATAATTACAAATATATATATATATATAGATAGTTGATAGACAACGAGTACCGAAAAGTATTTAGTAGTATTATATTAATATGTAGTGTTGACATAATGAGCCTAGATATTAAGGTTAGAATTTTTTTTTTAAATATATTACAAGAAACAAAATTAAGAGCAAAGTAAATAAAAGGCGGGCCTTATGGCTTATGCAGTGTATTCCGGCCAACCTTTGGGTAGAGGAGAAAAGACAAAAGGTAGTAGATCCAGAATACAATTACATTACATATCGATATTATATATCTATAATAATAAGAATAATCTCAGGACAATTCACACAGCGCCATCTAGACCCAAGTTAGCAAAGCTTGTGTTACGGGTACTAGATAACTGATACAAATATATACATAGATATTTTTTTTCGCAACTACATACATATATTGTACATAGACAACACCCGGTAGGTGAAAATATTGTTAAAATAGCATGGCCAGCTTCTTAAAACAGTTTTATGATCGACGACGTGCCCAAAATATTGTGTTGGGTGCCATTGCTTCGCCTACCCTGTATACCAGGGTAATATAATAAAAGACGTGAGTGATGCCATCTATCGAGTGGTGGTTAAACTAGCACAACGCAAGAACAGCGCCATCTATTGACAGAATATTGAACTAATGTTATCTATATGTACAATCTTACAGGGGGAGCTAGTCCCGGAAATTGAAAGTTATGACTGCATTTCGGAAGATGTCAGCAGTAGAAACAGAAACTTACAATATCTTTTAATTATGACGACCTCGGTGGTCTAGCGGTCTAGCACACCGCTTTACATCTGATGGTCGCGGATTCGATTCCTCGCACGGCACAAACATTTGTATTCATGAGTATGATTGTTTGTATCAGTATGGGTGTTTTCTATGTATAATATGTATGTATTTACGAAAAAAATATCTTTGTATTTGTATCAGTTGTCTAGTAACCATAACACAAGCTTTAGCTAGCTTAACTTGGGTCTAGATGGCGCTGTGTGAATTGTCCTGAGATTATTATTATTGTAATTAAAGATAATGTATGCTAGAAATTAGGTATATCCTTATACAATACTAGCTTGCCAGCAAACGTTGTTTTGCCTTAAAATAAAAAATTAGGGGTGAACTACCCCTAACGTTTAGGGGGATGAAAAATAGATGTTGGCTGATTCTCAGACCTACTCAATACGCTCACAAAATTTCATGAGAATCGGTCAAGCCGTTTCGGAGGAGTATGGGAACGAAAACTGTGACACGAGAATTTTATATATAAGATTATTTCTATAGGTGGTACAAAATTATTTTTATATTATACAACTATATGTAAAATAATTTATAGACAAATATACATCAATAAACTGGTGTATTTATATATCATTGCATTGTTCCAGACCCAATGCATCTAGACGTGGACATATATGAACTTAGAGATATATATTATAATGTACTACCTAAAAAGATCAGATTACTGATTAGACTTTTTGCTTTGCATTAGCATATGCTGGTGGTCACTCTATTCTCTCAAATTTGAATTTAAAAATGAATCTGTATTATTGTAAACATGTACAACATTTATTTGAAAAGAATACGAGCTGAGTTTCTTGTTAGTTCTTCTCATCTCGAAATCATTCCGAACTGACGGTAGATTTGACATATCATAAGAGTCTGTAATAGATCTACATGAATAAAGATATTTTGAATTTTGAATTTTGACATAGCTTATCAGTTGTTTACTAAAATAATACGAGTGGAATCCGAAATCATTACATAGTATAAAACAAAGTCGCTGTCGCTGTCTGTCCGTCTTTATGTATGCTTAAATCTTTAAAACTACGCAACGGATTTTGAAGCGGCATTTTTTAATAGATAAAGTGATTCAAAAGCCATGTTTTTATAACATTTACACTTGTGCGAAGCCGGAGCGAGTAGGTAGTAAATAAATAATGTGAGCCAGCATATATTCCTTTTTTTATTGAATTACGGCCATGTTACGCCAGGATCATGTCTTATGGAAAGTGTTTAATATGAACGTGGATCGATGGAAAGATAGAGTACGCTCTAAAAAAGATATATGGATTGTGAGAAAGAAAACATTAATAAAAGAAAAGTATTGGCGACCGACCGCCGAACTCTTTTGATATGTTTATTATTTATAAATTTATATTTTTGAAAAGTTCTTTTTTATGTCACGTTATTTGATATACTTCAATTTATTGTATTATTTCTAATATTGTCTTTTGATAATTTCGCAACTGCACATATTAATATATTATATTATTGCAAACTACGTGTTTTCATCATTTAGACATACAGTCCACCGATCCATTGCAAAAAGTATGCTCAGATATGGGGGCCGTTCAAGTATTACGTAAGCACTACAGGGGGGCGGGGGTTCTTTTCTTTGCTTATTTTGGATGACATGTGGGTGGGGGAGTCTGTATGATGATTACGTCATCGGTCGTAATTTACTTTTTTACACGAATGGCAACCCTCACATTGTCTTTGCTATAAAAAACAATACATTAATTAAGAAATGTTTACGTAAGCATGGGTGGAGGGGGTAAGAGCTTTTTTTTTTTTTTTTTTATTTATTTATTAGAAACCAACAGCGTTACAATTTCATTTACATTAACTTATGTTGTAAAATTAAAGCTACTATAATAGGTTTCACTTAATTAACACAAAGTATGTAGTATTGGCTTGCGCTAAAACAAAATAACAAAATAGGAAATCAAAGAAATAAACTGAACACATAAAAATTGTTGTGTGCTTTGCTTACTTTTGCTGACAAGGGGGATGGGGGGTAAATAATTGTGATAAATCTGCTTACGTAATACTTAAACGGCACCATGACGGCCGATAGAGATCAGTGGAAGAGAATGACATACTGCGGCGACTAATGGGATAAAGGCAAGGCAATGATGAATGATGATGTTGTACCTGGAGTTGGTGGGCGTGTGGTGCCGCCTCGGGCGGCGGCGCGGCTTGTCGTGTCGCGGCGCGGCACGCGACGACGCGGCACCGGATTCCGCGCTAGAATCAGTCACCGCGCGGAACACCTCGTCCGACACGCTCCCTGTCGCCCAATAAAAAATTAAGTGGCTCTCGGGGACTGCCACGTTAAAGCTATTGCGTAGCATTTTTATAGCTTATGCAATTATAATTATTTATTTATTTTATTCAAGCTGAATTTTTTTTCTTTGATATTATTAAAAATCGAAATTATGAACGTCAAGTTTTTACATTATAATTTTTTTTCCCTACCGTCCAATTCGGTATATAGATCCATTAATTCAAATTACACTCTTTGAGCGTGGTGACCGATAATAAAACAATCTATTATACAGTAACTAGAAGCACTCGGGGACTGCCGCGGTAAAGCTATTGCATAGCATTTTTTATCAACTTATGCAATTATAATTATTTACTAGCTGTCTCGGCAAACGTTGTTTTGTCTTAAAATAAAAAAAAAAATAGGGGTGGACTACCCCTAACATTTAGGGCGATGAAAAATAGAAGTTGGCCCTCAGACCTACACAATACGCTCACAAAATTTCATGAGAATCGGTCAAGCCGTTTCGGAGGAGTATGGGAACGAAAACTGTAACACGAGAATTTTATATATAAGATTTATTTTATTTAAGCAGTATTTTTTTTCTTTGATATTATTAAAAAAAAAAATCAAAAATCTTTTTTTTATGTCCTACATGAATAAATGATTTTTGAATTTGAATTTGAATTTATGTGTACTAGACAACTGACACAAATACTTTACAAATATATACAAAATATACACACCCAGACCGATACAAACAATCATACTTAAGAATACAAATGTTTGTACCACGCTGAGGAATCGAACTCGCGACGATCGGAAGTAAAACCGTACGCTAAACCACTAGACCACTGAGGCCGTCAAATCCAGACAGATACATTCACAACAGACCAAACTAACACGTTCATGATGATCAGCAACTTCCAGTAGGGGCGGGCATAAATGAAGTCTTAACATGTTAAACGTATTTATTTTTTAATTCAGGATTGAAATTTTCCAGAAAAATAATGAAAATTCATTCCGGTCACCATTGACCACCATGGCGCTGACAAAAAACACATTTTCTATTCGCGTGCACCGCGAGTCATGAGAGTATTGTTGTTGAGCGCCAATCCGTTGATTCTAGTACTACAAATGTATGAAAAAATCACGCCGGCGCTCAACACATCTCTAAAGTGAGGTCACTGGTCACCTACGCGGCGCAAAGATCCAGATATTGTGTTCCATATAGGTCACCGGTGACCTATATGGGACACAGTCACCTAGATACATCAAAATAATAATTGCATTTAATAATGCCTAGTAAGACAAATTCAATATTGTGTACTAAGCACTGCCGTGTCTAAACTGTGTCACCCCACCTTACATTTTCTTATTGTTATTTAGTATATAAGATCAATATTTCTATGTACATATTGTCCGTTTATTATCATCTGTAATATACATCGTATCGACCAACAATATAATATCACTCACCCGCAACAACTTACATGGCGTTTAACTTGTTAATAAATCTAAATATATATAACTCAAAGGTGACTGACATAGTGATCTATCAACGCACAGCCCAAACCACTGGAAGGATCGGGTTGAAATTTGGCATGCAGGTAGATGTTATAACGTAGGCATCCGCAAAGAAAGGATTTTGATTCATTCTACCCCCAAGGTAATAAAATAGGGGAAAGTACGAAAGTTTATATGAAACTTCGTCAATTTTAAACCGATCGGGCTGAGACTGCTTGCTTAAAGCTACCATGACGTAAGGACCCTCCTATAGAAAGGAAGGATACCCCTAAGAAAGAATTTTGATAAATTCCAAAAGCTAGTTATACAATAATTTTAACATACCTTTAGAAGGCGCTATAGGCATCCTGTAGGAGACACTTGAACTATTGCACTCGGCACAAGGCGATCCACTAGAGTCGGAGTCCGACTCTGAACGTCGCACCATCAGTGTCATAGCACGTGATAATGTATATTCATCTGTAATATCACCAATTAAAGCTTTAATTGTATTGATTACGATGGCAAATATTACTAAACTTCACCCGCGTCAAAAATATTACGTATCAGATTGGAGGCATTACGAGATTTTTGAGCTCCTTTGTGCGGCAAGAAGTTTGAAGATCCTTGGATCTTCAAACTTCTAACTATTCCTTGGAATATAGTGTTATATATGTAGTGTTGCTACTTCCCACTAGATGGCCCAAGATTTCTTACTACCTATCCCACTCTATCTTTATAAGATGACGTTATTGCCAGAACAATCTCCCCTATGATCGATCCCTCTCCCAATTCAACGGGGGTCGATGTTACGACAGCCTGAGCCGAGGTTCGAACCCCTAGTGGTGCCCTCAGACTAAAGTCGTATCCGTCAGGCGGGAGTTGGGCTTCAGCCGCTCCATAAGTCCTTCCTTTGGTTTGGAATACCATCTGCACTCGCCCCCTATCGTCCGGTAAAGGCCAGCTGCGGCCAATAGCATTAGAGTAGTACGAAAACCGCACGATCAAAATCGTGCGCGATTTGGCGCAGGAAAACCAGCGCAAGCAATTGTAAGTGATTGTATTAAACTATTTTTTGTGTTCACTCTTTCGCAAGTGATTATATGTGTTTCAAGTTCAGTTTTAATGTTTGCTTTTTTATTTCACAGTTTTTATTTTTTAGACACATTTATTATTTATTAATTATCAATATTTCAGTCTTTCTCTATAGGGTCCTATATTTTTTAATTAAAAAAGCTGCTAACTGGTCACAATAAAGTGCACGTACGTGGTGCTGAAATAAGTTCTCGTTCTCTATGTCTACATTAACATGTTTATTCTTGAAAATTTATTTTTAAAATTTTTATTTTTTATATTATATAATAGTTATACTATATATTATTACTATATACTATATTTATTTTATTTTAGTTTTTATATTCTAAGGACATATTTATTACTGATAAATTACCAATATCTCAGCCTTTCTCCATAGTTAATGTCTTGCATTTTTAGTGACAAAAAGGTGCTAACGAAGGTGCTTTTTGGCGTCAAAAAGTCCACGTATGAGGTGCTTAAGTAACTTCCCGTTCTCTATGTCCACTAACATGTTCACTCTTGGCTAAAAGCCGATTCGCGCGTAAAGAAACGCACGTGTAGAGGCAGCTATACGAGGTAGGTATATAAAAATGTAAGGATACCTGAGTTGAGCGGGTCCCGTCGCTTGTGCGCTGCGGGCGGCGCGGCGGCCAGCGGCGGCGGCTCCCCGCGGCCGAACGTACGCAGCGTGCCGCCCGACACAGCCTCCGCACCCGCGCCGGACATGCTGAACGTCGCGTACGGACTGATCTCGTACATCTCTGTTATCACCACAAGTGTCATTAGATTGACTCGGTGGTCTAGTTCACACCGCCTTGCTTTCAATGGTCGCGGGATCGATTCCTCGCACGACATATTTGTATTCATGAGTATGATTGTTTATATCGGTCTGGGTGTTTTCTATATATAATATGTATGTATTTATGAAAAAAAAATGTCTTTGTATCAGTTAGCTAGTACCCATAACACAAGCTTTAGCTAGCTTAACTTGGGTCTAAATGACGCTATGTGAATTGTCCTGAGATTATCATATCATTATGATTTGCGCCATATCTATACCTCGCTGGTTCAGATCCGGCTCGAAGGACCATATGAATGATTTTGTTACACTGCACATATAATTAATTATACTAAGAATTAAAAAATCAAAAGGTTACAGACTAAAATATGAAATTTATTCGTTTATGGTAATTACTAGTAAAATGAGTCATATTAAGTGGTAGATTAAATGCATTTTAGTAATAATTAAAACAATGCGTTATGAAAATAATGCTGACGGCGCACGAGTGTAAAGTACGTAACCTGTACAAAACCTCTGCAGTACTTAGGACTAAAAAGAGAAATGGTTTCTTAAAATTCAGTTTAAAAAAAAATCTACGTAAATATTTCCAGGCAATTTTTTGTTTTAAGCAAAATGTTTTTTAAATCTAGCTATATGTACTGGTGCTTTTCAGTCAATAAATGTATTAGAAATTATTCTAGCACTGGCATGTTACATTTGAAGCACTATGCTCATAACACTATTTCCTGATTTCCTGATTTGATTACAAAATCAGGGTGCAGACAATTCATGACAACAAAAATAGTTTTCTATTAAATAATTCCATACAGTGGAATACGCACATTCAGATATTCCCATCGCAATTTCAGATAGACACGCTCTGTATTCGATCTCGATATGCGAATCTGGCTGCCCTTCCAACCCAATGGTCGACAAACATTGGCGCATGCCAGTATACCATTTATTGATGTCAATGAAATGGACCATCGATATTGCACCATAAGTCTTACCAACATTAGTGATCAAGTCAAATCAAATCAAAAGTCATTTATTCATGCACTTTGGTAAGTCACAAATGAACAGCTGCATTATGATCTGGAGATAGACACTGTCAAACAAGAGATTTTAAAACAAACGAAATCATACGATGAAAGAATGAAAAATCATGTCAACCTCCTGGCAAAGACATTGATGAAAGTGAGCCAATCTAGTCGCAGACTAAAACGCAAAATGCCTCAGGACTTTATCAAATAAACAGTGTAGATGTAAAGTAAAGTAGGATGTATGTAACACGTACCGAGCCTGTCACGACGAGATAACCCAACAAATATACTATTTAATAAAATAAATAAATATATTATATTACGCTATATTATACAAGCTATATTATATTACACATAAGTCTTTCTATCATCACATTTTATTTTTTATTTATTTATTTTATTTATACTCTTTATTGCACCAATTACAGAACAAAAACAAAAAAACAATTAAAATGGAAAATATACACTGATACAAAAGGCTATCTTATCGCTAAGCAATCTCTTCCAGACTACCTTTAGGTGGATAGAGAAATAAAAATAAGAATAAGAACACATCACATTTTATATATTTCTCTTATATTTATCACACATAATTATAATTCATCAATTTAACTGATTCTTCATTTTAGATGTTTAAATTCATCACGAATGCTATATCTTTTTTTCAAGTGGCTCCACTGAAAATCAGCGCTGCAGTGACACGCTGCGGCACCAGCTGAGTGGAAGCCTTTTCAGCAGCGAATTATTAGTTTTTAAGTTTTCTTTTTTACTCTGTACTCTTTTTTATGCTGAATAAATGATTATTATTTTTATTTTTTTTTATTATATATATTATATATCTCCCTTTGATGGGGTAATAGACTGATCATTGCGGGTAAAAATCACCAAACAATGATAGTATAAATTATGAATGATGAGGATGGATAATTTTTAAGTGGAAGGCAAAAATTTGCGGACTATTCTACAAGTGATAATATTACAGCTTTTATTATTATTATTATTATTATTAATGTTCAATTGTGACAGATAGTAGTACACAAAGTTCCAAAAAAAAAAAATCATGTACATTTTAGCCATATTTGGTGTTTTACCTTGCTGCTCCTTTTTACTGATGGGATGTTTAATAGGTGATGATGTATACACTTGCTGGCAATTACGTTTATTGTCCCTCTTCTCAACTGACTTGTCCTCGTCCTCTGAGATGTCACCTTGTTCATATCCTTTCTTAAAGCACGATGGTGAAGGGCTGGAATGAGGATTAATTTGAAATTTACATCATTTTTAATTAATAACAAATTTGACGGCTTCGGTAGTCCAGCGATTTTGCACATACCTTTAGCGAGTTCACCTACGGTATAATCATTTGTTTTCATGATTGTGATTGTTTGTAAGTCTGTTTTCTATGTACATTATATATGTATTTACAAAAAAATATATCCATGTATTTATAACAGTTCTAGTACCCATAACACAAGCTTTAGCTAGTTTAACTTGGGTCTAGATGGCGTTGTGTGAATTGTCCTGAGATTATTATTATTGTAGTCAAAGATAATGTATGCTAGAAATTAGCTCTGCTTACTTGAGACTAGATGATGTTATGTGAAATGTTCATTAAAAACTCTGAATGGATAGTTTTGATAAGACTCACGTCCTTCTGTATGCAAAAGCGGCAAGCAAGAGAAGAGTGGCCAGCAGGGCGCAGCCCCCGGCCGCCAGCAGCGCGGCGCCCCGCGGGCCGTCGCCGGCGCCCTCCCCGCCCGGCGGGAACTGCGCCGGCGCGGGGATCCGCTCTATACGTGCAATCAGCTATTACCATTTGCATATTCAATCGCTGATATTTAGCTTCATGTTAATTTAACAGTTCGAATGTATCGCCAATACAATGAAATTCTTGTCTCGAATAGAAATATAGATATTTCCCATTCAACGCTGGTCCAGTTCCGGAGACAATTAAATTTCCACCGTAAAGAGACAAATTATATTTAATATTGTACCAATTTTTTTTTCTTTAATGCAAATAAAATTCTGTTAACATGATAATTCATTGCATTACGTAGTTATATATCATTTTCTGTTTAGTTTACTTTTCATTATATAACCTTATCTGGCTATCTAGCGTATATTGAATGCGTCTATATAATTTAGCTTTTAGTCATACATAGTGTTGGATTACAATCCAGTTTTGTACCGAACTACACGCTCCTAGTTATATTATTATATTGATTGTAATCTGTTTTGTATGCTAATAAATAAATAAAAAATAAAATAAATGTGTATTTATTTAAAACAACATATTTAAAAAAGTTGAATGAGTCTGCGTTCTGAATGTGTAGAACAGAAGAATAGAATAGAAAATCATTTATTTATACGAACTTAATTTAAGTACTTTTGAATAGTCAACAATTTTTTTAACTACCGCTTATTCGGAAAGCTGTCTCATCATAAGAAGAATAAACAAGAAACTTGAGTGTTGCTCTTTTAAACAATTCTTGTAAGTTCACATTTTACAAGTCGAAACGTGTGAATACAAACTACCAACCAGCACTAATTTATTTAGACTCAAATATAAAAACACAATAAGGTTAAATCAATCGGAGTGATAAGAGCAGACCAGTCCCTACAGGCAGCACTTGTTCACGAGTATGACAGACGTGTGGTAGAATAAAAAAGATATGACTATTCAAAAGTGCATAAACAACATAATATGCTCGACGAAAATATCTTTTATTTCTTTTTCTACTGCTATTCTAGTTAATTTCAATAGAAATTTTTGATAACGATTGAGTACGTAAATGATGTTGTATTTCTTATTTAGAAGGGATTTTAGTAGAAAAAAAATGTCTTATATTTATTTAAACTTATATTTAGTTAAAAATTTTTTTTATGCCACTTTGGTGGCAATCAAGCATACGGCCCATCTGATGGTAAACGGTTACCGTATCCTATGGACGCCTGAAACACCAGGGGTGTCACATACGCGTTGCCGACTCTTAAGAAACCTTAATATACCTTCTTGAAAAACCCCATGCTGTAGTCTCTCGAGAAAACCTCGGCAGGTAGTTCACATGATGCACATGGCCGACTTAACACCTAGAGGTATTTTCTCCCAGCCAATGTGGACTGTGCATTATTAATTACATACAAATTAACAGAAACTATTGCTGCAGTATAATTACATATAAATATACTGCAGCAATAGTTTCTACACGTGCTACCATCCACTTCCTAGAATCCTTATCGCATGGCACGTGTAACATTAGCAACGCAGCTGCGCGACCTTCAAGCCGTCGTTACCTGCAGCTGCGGTTAAAAGCGACACGTGTAAAATGGTATATAAGGCCCGAATATTTTTACAATTAAAATGAACGACGACGACCCCATAACGGCAGGTAACCTCCCCACGGGCCCACCCGTTCCACCCCGATCACACTTTTACACACACACACGACACCGTCCTCGCCGGCGAAGACGACGACCTCAAACACACAATATCGCGCATTCAACCGGGCGTTTGCGCGCGCCTCCGATCGATCCCCCGTCCAATTCAAACGGGGATCGAAATTACGACGGCCTGAGCCGAGGTTCGAACCCCTAGTGGTGCCCTCAGACTAAAGTCGTATCCGTCAGGCTGGAGTTGGCCTTCAGCCGCTCCATAAGTCCTTCCGCGGGTTTAGAGTGCCATCTGCACTCGCCCCATAACGTCCGGTAAAGCTGTAAAGGCCAGCTATGGCCAACAGCATTAGAGTAATCCGAAAAAAAAAATACAATTAAAACACTTATATTCTGTCTCTCGGCTGTATCATTACAAGCTCCCAGGTTCTCAACAAAGAGGTCTTAAACCTAACCCCAAAGGGGCGTGTACATATAGGTACCTCCTTAAATATCCATAGAAAGTGACAAAACTAAACTATTGAGTCTACTATGTATACAGTGCCATCTATTATATAATGCGTTAATAATTTGATGACCTCGATGAGCTACCACTTTAGCACACAGCTTTACTTCCGATGTTCGCCGGTTCGATACCTCGTACGGTACAAATATTTGTATCATTAGTATGATTATTAGTATCGGTCTGGGTGTTTTCTATGTATATTATTATGTATGTATTTATAAAGTAATATACCTAAGTGTTTATATCAGTTATCTAGTATCTATAACACAAGCCTTGCTTACCGTGGGACTAGATGGCGCTATGTTAATTGTCCAGGGTTATTTATTTATTTATAGCGCTGTCCACTTTTAATACAGCGCCATCTATTATATACTTCGTATATTATTGTAGGTGTGTTATACATACATATACAGTATAAGTATGATCTTATTACACCGCGTTGCATAGCGCACCTACTGCAAACAGTTGCTGGTTTAAACTCGTATATAAAGCAAAAAACCTTTAGATACATCGCAACCTACCTCCTTCATCCGTCAGTGTAGAAAAATAGTAGTTCCCCGTTGTGGTACCGGCTGCACTACTGGCTATCACTTTCAAATGGTACCACGTGGCCGACACCAGTCCGCACAGCGCGGTCGGCTGCACGGCCGGCACCGTGTGCGACCTCCAAGTGCTCTCCTCAAAGCTACGCACGGATACCGTGAACTCGCTGAGCGGGCAGCCATTGCTGTCCCACGTTAAAAGGTTGAGTCGTACGCATGTACTGTTTGAGCTGATTAGGTCTTTCTCTGGTGCAGCTCGGGAGGCTGTGAAGAGCGAAAATATGTTTTGTTGTTGTTTTATAAGAAAGAAGGCTTTGACTTTTCAATTAGACGAGTGAGGAAATTTTATACATCACAGTTGGAGTATTTAGAATATCTATTCTAAATACACACCATATAAATAGGTACATTAAAATTGTTTTTTAACTAGTGCTCTGCATAATGTCTTTGTGCTCTGAGTCAATATTGTTTTTTTTTTCAGTACTACAGTACTGAAATCAAAACCTGCTAATATGAATATTTTCTTCAATAACTAATTAAATTCGGCGAATTTTTGGATAAGACAAGGCAACTTAATATCAACGTTTTACGCTAGTCAGACTAGTCTTATCTTTAAACAAGTTTGTTCTTACTAAATATTTGCACAAATTCGATTAAAATTGTTGCTACCGCGTTTCGGCGAGGGGAGACGCAATGTCTCTGAAAGAATAGTGATTTTATAGCGTGGAAAATTGTCCAGGGTTTCGGTACTCACGTCCGCCTAGCGTGCGCGCGCGCAGCGTGTCGCTGGGCGGGGAGACTCCGACGGAGTTCCGCGCGGTGAGCCGCACCTCGTACGCGGCGCCGCACGCCAGCCGCTCCAGTGAATGCGTCAGCGCCGCGCCGCCCGCCTCCGCCGCCGCCCACGCGCCGGCTCCCGCCTCTGCCCGCCGGTACTCCACCGTGTATCCTGCGGGCGTAGAATCGAAAATTATTTATTCAAATAAACTTGGCATCTAGAAGTTATTTACTGTGAAAATTTGTTTAATATTGTCCTATGCGTGTAGCAGCTACTTAACGTTAGTCATAATCTTGTCTGATGAGCGAAAAGTTTCAGAGATATTTCTTCTTGTGATAAGACAGCTTTCCGAATGAGCGGTAGATTAAAAAAATGTAATGACTATTCAAAAGTGCTTCAATGTAAGTTTATTTGTATAAATGATTTTCTATTCTATTCTAGAAATATTCGAGTGATCCTTGATTATTGAATAGAGGATGGAAAGTACCGTATGGAGTAATTTTGGCGCCAAAATGTAAAAAACAACATTTCAATTGAAAAGTATAAAGTTATAACAATTATTTAAAAGAACAACACGCAAGTTTTTGCTCGTTCTTGTGATGAGATAGCTTTCCAAATGAACGGTAGACTACAGAAATAATGCTTCAATGTATGTTTATCTGGATGAATAATTTTCTATTCCAAATTATATACCTACATGAAAAATAGTAAATCACCTCGTACTGGAAGCGTAGCGGCAGGAGCGGGGTCCCAGGCGAGCTGCAGGCGCGCGGCGCCAGCGGCGACCAGGCGGACACGAGGCGCGGCCGGCGGCCACAGCGCCACCACCTGCCACGTGCCGCGCTCCGCGCCCCACGGGTTGCGCACCGAGCACGTGTAGTTGTCTGATGAGCTGCTGTCCAAACCTGCACGCCATGAGACTTTGAGTCGAGCGGCTGCAGTGGCCGGGCTTTGAGCAGAATTAGGGATGACTCTCTTATAAAAGCTATGTGCCATGCTCCGAGTACGTAATTGTTCCACGAGCTCCAGTCCAGGCCTGCACGCCATGAGACACTATGATCTGAACTACTGCAGTATCCGGACTTTGAGGATAATCGCGGATGACACTCGTATAAAAGCTAGAATTCAAAACGTTAGTGGCCAGTGTGTCGGTGTTTTATAGGTTTTGGCGAGTATGTATAGGACCTGCCTAATTTAATCTCGCCTTCCCGTTTTTGGCGACGAGCTCTAGGACTGTATCGTTACGTCGTGGAAATTCCTCATATTACAATTCCACGTCCGCGTCGTCATTTTTAATATGGACTATCAAGGAGTGGAACACTCCATCTTGTGTCCTCTCCACTCCATCGTGTGGAACACTCCTCTTATCAAGGAGTGGAACCAGCTTTTGTATTCCTGGAGAAATACAACCTCGGATTATTCAAGATTTAGACTTAGATTTCTTCTGAGTAAGTACGCTACATTCTAGGGTTCGCCATCATTTCCTGTCAAATGTGACAAGACCAAGTGTAAACGTAAAGTATCTATATAATGCTAACGCGACGTCCGAATGGGGTATTGCGGAATTGGAATTAGCTTATACTGTAATATTCGGTCAAATAAGAATTCAAACATGTCTATACTGTGATCTCAGTTAGGATATTCTTGAAGGACCAAACATATGAAAATGAATTTTAGACGCAATAGAGTACATACTGATTATAACGAGGTCGGCCCCGTCCAGCAGCAAACCGGCGTCAGCGGTGAGGGGGGGCGCGGGGCGGCGGCGCGCCCACGTGGCCTGCGGCGCCGGCGCGCCCGCCGCTCGGCATGGCAGCCGCACGCGCGCGCCCGCCGCCGCCGCCACGCGCCGCGCGAACGACGCCAGCATCGCCGGCGCTACCACGCGCACACACCACGATTAGGACTTTTAAAGGTGTGTACACGTTCTGAAGAATTGTTGGACATGATACCTAGAGCTACTTTTTATAATAGGTCCGCTTTCGATCGACAGGATACATCACTCCGATCGATCCGCCGTCTAATAAAATGGGGATCGGAATTATGATGACCTGAGCCGAGATTATAATCACTAGCGGTACTGCTGATGATGGTTTAGTCTGACTAAACTGGCTAAAGTGGTACTGGTGGCTAAAGTTCGTCAGGCAGTTGGCCTTCAGCTGGTGCCTGTATTTGGAGTGCCATCTGAACTTGCCATATCGTTCGGTGAACACTAGAACTTAAATGATCTCAGCCAGAGCAGTGTCACAGAAACTTCCTCACGCGTACATCAATTGTGGAATAAACTACTTGCCGAGGTTTCGTCTAGAGACTATAGCATGGAATTTTCCAAGAAGGATATATTAAGGGTTGGAAACGCACACGTGACACCCTGGTGTTTCAGTCATCCATAAACTACGCTAATCATTTACTATTAAATTAGTCGTATGCTACGATACAGGCAATCAAGCCTGTATCGTAGCATAAGAAAAGATTAGAACGAGTTAACAAGAGCAACCCTTTCCGATTTAATCGGTTATAATCGGAATCGGAATGATAGTATCAGAACAAATCTGACTAGTACACGTCTCTGAAGTGTTTAATTTCATAACCGAGTGGTAGGTAACCGAAGTAGTAGTCGTGAAGTGCTAGGGTAAGGATAAGGATCCTTTAATGTGTAAGAATGGCAAAATACGAGTGGCACTACGGAGATCAGACCACGATGAATTTTTTATCTTGTTGAATAAAATGAATAACATAGTAGCATAGAGTATTAAAATACTACTCACCTCTACTGTTAGGCTTCCTCGCAACAATTGCACTCATTTCGCCTTCTCCCGACGCTGTGGCAGCTGTGACCCAAAACTCATAGGTCTGGTGTGTTTGCAATCCCCTGATTTCTACTTGGTACTCCTCCTCATCTTCTTTGTGGAGTACCATCACTTGGGAGTGCTGTCCTGTCCTGTCAAAAGGACTGTTTACTCGATATCTTTACAATATTATCCAAACTTGCACAGCGAAGAAAAGTTTGATCATTTACGTACAACCTTGTCTACAATAACTGAAATTTTACATGCAACCTTTTCTGGTGTCTACAATAACTGAATAATATAGCATACCTTTGCGGCCTGTAGTATGCTGTATAATGTTTGATCTTGCCATTCTTCTGCAGTGGGGCGAGCCAGCTGACTAGCACAGTGTCTTCTGAGTTTGCCAGGGCTTTGACGTCGGCCGGTGGTCCAGGTACTGAAGGGAGAAACTTAATTCAGTAACTTTAATTACAACGCAGTAAATAACCAAATGATACGATTAAATGTAATTAATAAACAATTAGGTCACTTTTTATACTTTACAAAATAAACAAGCCATCGATATAGACTAATGACTTGACTTCATATTCATTCTATCATCCTCCACTGATGACCTGCCAGCGTATAACGTTAGTGCAGACGGGTGCACATTTGGTTATCATCCATTGTGTGTGCATTCCCGCGGATGGGCGAATTCCCGAACGGGCGCTGTTCCTGGTGGGCAGCGAGAGCATGGAGTCGTACTCCACGTCCTGTGAGCTACCGAATTGCTCGCATAAAATCTTAGGATAAGGAGTGGCAAGCGTAAAGGGTACGTACCGTCCTCGTGCGTGGCGCAGTGCAGCGTGGCGGGCGGACCAGCGCCGGCGGCGGTGCGCGCCCGCACCCGCACGGAGTAGTTGGCCGCGCGCCGCAGCGCCGCCAGCACCGCCTCCCGCCCCGACGCCCGCGCCGCCGCGCTCGCGCCCTCCGCCTCGTCCACCGCCTGCACACGCGACCCACATCTTTCAAAATGTTTGCCAGGCAACACCAAAAAATCTTTCACTTTATTTAATACCCCTCTTATGCCATGAATATGGGAATTCCTGTCCAGACACTGACACCTAAATGGTCTCGGACAGTGTGGTTTGCGGACTTGTATGCAGCTACAGATTCTGTAGTGTTACTCTTAGACAAGACTAACAGGGCTACTAAGTCAGTTGCATTTATTATCAGGTTACTTAGCTTGAGGCTAGACTTCGCATCGCTTTATTTGTTCTACCGAATGTATATCGGACTATGTTCTGAAGAATGGTTCAACATGATACCCACCGGGAATTCATCCCTATACGTTGCAACCTAATTGATCTCGGACAGTGCGATTTCGGAGTTTCCACCCGCGTTGTGGAGTGAACTATAGTATAAGACGTACATAGGTTACGATAACTGTTTACCATCAGTTGAGATGGTGTAAAAACAAGCATGCATGCTTGTTTGACACCATCGTCATATAAAAGAAATGGATACTTTTTCTTCGAAAAGTAATTTTCTTCACGTGGCCAAATTGTCAAAGATGTATTAAATCTAAATCGGACATTCTTAAATTTGCCGTCCCCTGAACTGGTCCCGGCTTCTCCCCCTCCCCTTAGAAACGGAGATAAGTAGAAACTTCAGTCTTTGCGTCGGACAGTATAACTATAAAAAATAAATCATTTCAAAATGGGAAATCTCGTAGAGTTTACGTAGCATAATGAATCAGTATAAATGCGAAACCAAATAACCTCATACACCAGTTCGTAGCCTAGTAACACTCCGCCGCGAGCAGCGGGGGGCGGCGGCTCCCACCACACGCGAATGGACTGAGACGATATAGCCTCACAGCGAACGCGCTCCGGGGGTGCTTCTGGTACTGCAATTAAAAAGTATATTAAAACTTATTCTATAACAATTATGAATTATAAACATTTATAATAGTCGTTATAATTTCAACTACTGCTGGATATATTTATATGTCTATGTTGACGGAATTTTAATTATATATATGTACATACAACACTACAAAAAGTGTCTTAGTGGTTTGCTGCTTTTATGCTGCAAACAATACACTGCCTTTTTGCGTATGGGCTATGCACACACACTACATTACTCACACTGTTTTTTTATTTTTGTACCTGTATTGTACTTTGTTGTCTGTTCAATGTTGTATATATTGTGTATCTACTTTCAATTTTTGTTGTCAATATTACAGTACCATGTATGTGAGTATGCTTCTATCGTAAATAAAAAAATATCTATCTTATCTATTATCTATCTATCTAAAGTGGCCACGCGCACGCGGTAGGCGCGCGCGCGCAGCCCGCCGCCGACCTACAGTGCACTGACCTCCCTCCGCGGTGGCGGCGGCCAGCGGCGCGCAGGGCGGGCCGGCGCCGACGGCGTTGAAGGCGCGCACGCGCACGCGGTAGGCGGCGCGCGCGCGCAGCCCGCCGCCGACCTACAGTGCACTGACCTCCCTCCGCGGTGGCGGCGGCCAGCGGCGCGCAGGGCGGGCCGGCGCCGACGGCGTTGAAGGCGCGCACGCGCACGCGGTAGGCGGCGCGCGCGCGCAGCCCGCCGCCGACCTACAGTGCACTGACCTCCCTCCGCGGTGGCGGCGGCCAGCAGCGCGCAGGGCGGGCCGGCGCCGACGGCGTTGAAGGCGCGCACGCGCACGCGGTAGGCGGCGCGCGCGCGCAGCCCGCCGCCGACCTACAGTGCACTGACCTCCCGCCGCGGTGGCGGCGGCCAGCGGCGCGCAGGGCGGGCCGGCGCCGACGGCGTTGAAGGCGCGCACGTGCACGCGGTAGGCGGCGCGCGCGCGCAGCCCGCCGCCGACCTACAGTGCACTGACCTCCCGCCGCGGTGGCGGCGGCCAGCGGCGCGCAGGGCGGGCCGGCGCCGACGGCGTTGAAGGCGCGCACGTGCACGCGGTAGGCGGCGCGCGCGCGCAGCCCGCCGCCGACCTACAGTGCACTGACCTCCCTCCGCGGTGGCGGCGGCCAGCGGCGCGCAGGGCGGGCCGGCGCCGACGGCGTTGAAGGCGCGCACGTGCACGCGGTAGGCGGCGCGCGCGCGCAGCCCGCCGCCGACCTACAGTGCACTGACCTCCCACCGCGGTGGCGGCGGCCAGCGGCGCGCAGGGCGGGCCGGCGCCGACGGCGTTGAAGGCGCGCACGTGCACGCGGTAGGCGGCGCGCGCGCGCAGCCCGCCGCCGACCTACAGTGCACTGACCTCCCTCCGCGGTGGCGGCGGCCAGCAGCGCGCAGGGCGGGCCGGCGCCGACGGCGTTGAAGGCGCGCACGCGCACGCGGTAGGCGGCGCGCGCGCGCAGCCCGCCGCCGACCTACAGTGCACTGACCTCCCTCCGCGGTGGCGGCGGCCAGCGGCGCGCAGGGCGGGCCGGCGCCGACGGCGTTGAAGGCGCGCACGCGCACGCGGTAGGCGGCGCGCGCGCGCAGCCCGCCGCCGACCTACAGTGCACTGACCTCCCTCCGCGGTGGCGGCGGCCAGCGGCGCGCAGGGCGGGCCGGCGCCGACGGCGTTGAAGGCGCGCACGTGCACGCGGTAGGCGGCGCGCGCGCGCAGCCCGCCGCCGACCTACAGTGCACTGACCTCCCTCCGCGGTGGCGGCGGCCAGCAGCGCGCAGGGCGGGCCGGCGCCGACGGCGTTGAAGGCGCGCACGTGCACGCGGTAGGCGGCGCGCGCGCGCAGCCCGCCGCCGACCTACAGTGCACTGACCTCCCTCCGCGGTGGCGGCGGCCAGCGGCGCGCAGGGCGGGCCGGCGCCGACGGCGTTGAAGGCGCGCACGTGCACGCGGTAGGCGGCGCGCGCGCGCAGCCCGCCCAGCTCGGCGCGCGCCGCGCCCCAGCCGCCCGCCGTGAGCGCCTGCGACCGGTTGTCGCCGCCCTCCGCCTCGCGCCACCACACCACGTAGCCCAGCAGCTCGCCGTTCCACGACTCCTGCGGCGGCGGCTGCGGGCGTACATATTGTCACACTACAGCATTTTTCAAAATGGACTGCATTTTGCAAAATTTGAACAGTGCAGCTATAATTCTATTTTCAAATTCAATTATACCTCGCCAGTATCCTATATAAGAAAACAAAAATATTTCGCAAAACTTTTCATGTAAGTCTACAAATACATTTCAGTATATAAATTTATTCTGACCTGCCATTTGACGAGCAATTCACCAGGTCCGGTAGCTTGAACTTGTACATTTTGTGGAGGTTCAGATGGTGCTGAAACAATATATTCATTATTGAAAATTAATAAATATTTGAAAAAATATTAAATCTCTTTTAATTTCTTTGAATTGGAATAATCGGTACCTTCTTCTGACGTTTGTATAATGACTGAGTCTGAGTATTCGCTTTCTCCGATAGAATTGACAGCCGCCAGTCGGAGAGCGTATGCTGTAGCTGGACGAAAACCCTCCACATTGTACTCCAGAATTACTTCTGAACTGAGTTCCGCAGCTTCCTCTCTAGAATATAAAATGAAGTTCCATTTCAAATTCACTCTTTTTATCAGAATATCTTTGGCTTATTTCTGCGTTCTTCAGTATTATCGACGACCATGGCTTCTTAACATGTATTTCTTTTATTTAATTAGACTAATAATAGCTATGAACCATCGTGGATTTGCTACTATGATAACTATATTAATGAATTATTGGGCAAAAACATTTTTTTCTTCCAATAGCTAGTGATTAGTAACCTTGTGATAAATCAACACAAATTCTATTACCAATAGAAATAGAATTTAAACCTTACTTAATTTACCTCTCTGTTACTCTATCAGCTAGAACATCCCTCGTAGGAGCATCAGCCCAGTCATCTCTAGTGTCTGCATAGTGACGGTCACGGTCACGGTCAAGCTGACGGTCATGCTGACGGTCACGCTGGCGGTCACGGTCACCGACTACACGGTACTGCAGTTTGTAGAGGCGAACGCGTGCGTTGCCATCGTAGCCTCGTCGCCAGGATATGGTAGCGCCGCGGGCAGTACGTTGGATGACATGAAGTCCACGTGGTGCTTCGGGAAATTCTGAAGATGATTATAAATTTTGAACTAGTAAGTAAAACTTAAGAGAAAAATGTTGATGTCGAAAATTTTATAGGCACAAGCGATAGGGTTTTAATAAACAATTTATGTCCCGAAATCAAAGACCGAAGATTCTATACCGGATATAAAAGGCAGAAGTAGAAAATGAAGAGATGTTTACTGATAAAATTATCATAATATCTGTAGATATAGTAACAATAATCAAAATAATGAATATAGGTATAACGTTTTGTAGCATCAAATTGAAGTTAACTTTATTCAAAAACTTACCTTGCATAGCTTAGCTTATAAACTCACCTTGCACAGCTAAGTATATGAGCAGTTCATCACGGCCGTATGAATTTTCTGCGCGACACCTATAAACTCCGGAGTCCCGTCTCTCCGCATGGGCAATGTTCAGCTGAGAACTGACACCGTTTTCTGAACGCTTCTCAGATACAGACACTCTGGGAAATAACGATGATGTGTTTATTTGTTTTTTAATTTAAATCATATTTGAATATATTTGATCGTTATAGGTGTTATTTTGTGGAAGTCCGTTTCATTATATTATTTTGTTTATTATCACCACCACTATAAATATTCAGTTTTTTTTTCGGACCATACTGTTGGCCTTATCTGGCCTTTACAGCTTTACTGGACGATAGGAGGCGAGTGTAGATGGCACTCCAAACCCGCGGAAGGACTTATGGAGCGGATGAAGGCCAACTCCCACCTAACAGATACTTTATCATTATGGTTTCCAGGAGAAGCCGCTTGGAGGTCAACCTGATGATGATGATGGTACATCAATAGCAATAAGCTCTAATGATCTTATTGGAGTGTTAGTAACGTAGACAGATGTCTACATTTCTAACAATCCCGTTTCCCCCCATTGGTGATATGTTGTTGTTATAGCTTGACCATAACCACTGTACTGCGCCCTAGGTATGTGCGGCGAGGCGGGGGACGGGTAAGAAACAGCAAAATATGTACATTGGCGGGCGACTGACACATCAGCGCGGCCGGTACCCTCCCCTGCCTCGCCGCGCACATACCAAGGGCGTGGTACAGTGGGTATGGTCAGGCTATACCTGTAGGTGGTAAGATCAAGACGTTGTGTGTTGTGTGTCCACTGCAACTGCAGAGGTGGGTCACCGCGGGCATCGCACTGCAGCACCGCTGCCGCTGTTCGTTTTACTGTCATGTTGCGAGATGAGAACTCGAAATGGGCTGGTTCTGTAATAGCAATGGTAACTTACAAATACATGTCAACTTAAGAATAGAGTCTCTCTGCCGCTTTAGTCTTAACGACCGATCTATAAACAATTGTTTCTACATGCAATGCGAACTAGAGAAGAACTTCTTAGTATACCAAGAATTCACCGTGCGGAAGCTGAGTCCATCGTGTGGCAAAAAGGGACAATATAAGCAGTTCCCGGGAAATCTATTAGATACATATGAATTTAATGCAATGAAAAAGAAAATCTATAAATTGCAACTTGGAAAAAAATCAACGAATCTAGTCGAATTGCTAGAACAGGATATAGAGACAAATTTTACTGTACCCAAATATAATTTATGTCCGCATATTTCAATAGTACCTATTTTTTTAGACTATTACAATAAAATTTCGGTCAGTTTAGCCCTGCTGTAAATACAATTCCCATCAAAAGACTACTAAATAACAGCGTCATTTTAAAACTACATCAATTTAGTTTCCAAAATTCAGCCCGTGTTTAACCTTCAATTGAACTACTTTCGTACCTGACCCTAATAGACTTGTGCATGATATTAAATATTCCATTTTAATTCTATTGTAATGGAAATTTACTTCACGTAAACTAACCGTTAACTGATACAGATATGATCTTCGATAATCCTCTACCAATTCCGTTTTCAGCTCTGCACATGTATTGTCCCTCGTGGTGATGAGCTGCCGGTGCAATATTTAATGTTCCGTTCGCAAGCACAGAGAATTGGAGATCCAAGTTGGAGACTGGCCGGAAATCACCAACTCCGGTACCTGTGAAGTGTCAGCTTCATTAACTATATTGGATGCTTCTACAATATTACTATTCATATTTGAGAAACACTAAACTCTGAATAGCTCCATTGGAGATATATTTGGTCTAAACAATAAGTAAGCAAATTGTAATTATAAATTTGATACCGTGCGTTACTAAAAAGTAACGCGCTATGATTTGATTTTGGCCAAAGTGTTTAAGAACATTTTGGGATGTTAGATTGTATCCACTATTGGTATCTGCCATGGCTTGCTATCCTAAAGATTCTGTATTTTCGCTAGTAATCGTACTATCAATGCACCAACACACTCTTTAGTTCCTTTATCGACTCACAGTGGGATTATATTGAAACCTATCAATAAATCGAAATAGTATTTTGGTTTTTTAGCACCCTTAGGACCTCGAGGTATTTCATATTCGTTCTACCATTTTCAGTTATCCTGAATTGAAAAACCTCATGTCTCTAGAGAAAACCTCGACAGGCAGTTCTTTCGACAATTTGACTGTGCCTGAGAAGAACCTTCTAAGACATTATATTAGTAATTTATAAAAAATATCTTACCATGCCCTTTCAGCCAAGTAATTCTTGGTTCCGGATAACCTTTAGTAGAGCAATGTGTCATGATTTGAGTGCCGAGTAAAGCGGATACATCTTGAGGTTCGTATACCCACGAGGGAGCCACTGGAATAAACAGAATGAAAACTTATTGCTCTGTTGCTGCAAGTCTCCAAATATCAGGACTCGCTGCTTTTTTACTATATTTATGGTCATATCGTTATTTTGTTTTTGGGAAAAGAATGAATGCTTACAAAATTAGGAATGTACACGAGATGCTATTGTTAAAATTTAAAATTATAGTTTCACTAGCTATTATCTGTAACTTTGTCTGCACAAACTTTTCTTCCCTATTGCATATCTTCTAGATTATTTTTTCAGGTAAAAGATAGTCTATACATGTTATCAGAATAGCATGTATCTATTCAAAAACGTTTCAAATCTCATTAAGATTCTTTCAGACGTTTAGTCGTGAAAATTATAAGAACATTGTTTAATTAGGGAATTTTCTATAATTTCAATGAAAAATTGCAACCAATATACTTCTTTATTTTGAACCCTTAAATACTTGTACTGTAGGCACTTCCAACCATTATATCACTTAAAACAAAACCTTTAAAACTGTATTTCAGTAATAAATATGACAATATATATACTTTTTCTATAGTTCGCTTATGGTCTCTATATTATTCTGTTTTTTTTTTTACATTTTGGCGCCAAAGTTATTTCACCTTTTTAAAAGCAACGGAACAAACCCAAACAGCTATAATAATGAGACAATATTCAAAGTGGGATATTTAACATTCCGCCCACCAAGGACTACATGTCCTTTATTTTAAATCCGCCCACCGTGAAGCAACTAAATCAAATATATAATAATGAAATAAAAAATCGAAACAAACGCAAAACTCATGTACAATATTAAATCTATTTCATTCCTGAACTAAATACACTAACATAAATAAGAATGAATAAGAAGAATTGCCCAAACTCAGTCAAACAATTGACAGTATACAGAATTTCAACATGACATAAATGTTTTAAGATTGTCTATACACCAAAGTTATATGGCACAAGGATATAACTGTGCTATTCTGCCAAAAACCCATTTTTTTGGAGTTGAATTATTTTACTAAACTAATTGAGATACACATCTGCCTTAGGACTGTCAATAATATGATTATTGCAATTATCACATGTAGTTTAATTGTAATTTGTAGTATATTCAATACATATTTCAATATATGTACAGTATTTTGGTTTTCAGCCTAGTTTTAGCTACCAATTAATAAAATGTGCACTCAAAAAATCATAATAGACACTCAAAGTTCTATAACAACCACTGTCAAAGTGTTGAGAAATATATTACAAAATCCATACAATTCTTTGCAGTTATATCATGAATGTTCTCGTGTGCAATACAGAATTTGTACAATATAACATATTATAATGAATAAATATTATTTTAGTAAGTAAATCATATATTATTTTTGTATATATTATCTGAATCAAATATTAGAATTATATTCATTATCATTAGTTTATGATCGAAGATAATTTCATTGAGTATTAAAATGTATTGAAACATCTACACCAGATAATACTTCCTACTTTCACTATTTTTACATTATCCATACTAATTTATATTTTCTATATTATCTCTTATTTTAATCTTTCAATTAATTTGTTCTACTTACTTTTCGATGCTTTGATAATCTTTCATTTATATGTAATCTAATTATACATTCTTAACTTAATACCACCATAGTGCTTTTAGGGTTCAGTCTCTAATCCTCAATTACTAATCATATTTTTTTTTTTACGATATCAAACTAGCATTTGTTATTTATGCATTTTTCAGCATATTTGATTTGCTTGAACTCTTCATTCTAAATATATCCCTATTAACAATTATTATCGTTGAACGTTGCATCTTTGACTTTTTGCAGAATTCATTTGAATTTTGAAATTTTAATATATATTATGTTTAACAGTAGACTTGTCCTTCTGAACCACAACATTCTGCAATGCGATGCGATTCTGCAATTTCGTTCTATCAACATTCTGTTCTATCATCACATTATCTTTTAAATATAAGTAATCTTTCATTACTTTTATATTGTCTCTTTTATACTCGTTAGTTCTATTAAACTCTGTTTTCGTATTATAAAATATTTTAGTATGAAACTTGGACTTGACATTATGTCTACTTTTAATATATTTTTTATTGTTGGTCAACCGCATACATTTTTCTTGATCTTCTGGAGTTCCTAAATTATATGTACTATTTGATTCTACTTCCCGATTACCTTGTAGTATATTATCATCTTTTTCTATACTACTATGCAAAACCACTATATTATTTTTAGAATTTATACATTGAACAGGTCCAGATAAAACCCACCCTAAAGAGGTGCATTGTGCTACAGGAGAACCACGTGGACCTCTTATTATACCCTCTTGTAAAATCTGGCTATAGACTTCTGCTCCTAATAACATGTCAATTTTATTTGGAACATTGTATTGTGGATCAGCCAGAATAACGTTAGCTGAATTAATCCAATCTATCTTAGGTATCTGTTTAGCTGACATGTAAGATGTAATCTGTTTTAAGATATGTGTTGTAACATTAGTGCTAAAAGTTGAATCAAACATTGACTGAATTTCCAATAATATTTTCCCTTTTGAAGCTACCGAACCATAGTAACCACCAAGCCCAGATATTATAGTCTTTGCACTTGAACTTTTTAAACCTAATCTTTGAAATGCAGTTTCTGAAATGAAAGAGGCTTGTGAACCTTGATCTATAATTGCTCGAAAAACCTGATATTGACCTGATCCCGATTTGACTCTCACTAGAGCTGTTGTTAAGAGAACTTGATTTTCTGTGCTAGTACTCAAACACGATACTACAGAATCTATTGGGGTCTCGACTTGGTTGTTAGATATTGGGACTTCACCGATATTATGTACTGAATCATTTTGATGGCTAGTTTCAGAGGTCAAATTTGGTGGATGTAGAAGTGAGTGATGTCTTTTTTGACATACTCTACAATTAATAGGTTTTTGACAGAATTTCACAGAATGACTGCTTCCCAAGCAATTGAAACAAATACGATTATTTACAACAAACTCGTGTCTATTTTTATAACTTTCTGAAATAAAGTCCTTACAGAAACATAACTTATGGTTACCGGAACAATATTCACACGCTACTTCAAATACATTTGCATGTAGTACTCTAGGTCTAACAGGGTTTTGTACTAAATTCCCATCTATTCGTCTATTACTGAAGCTAGATTCTGTAAACTCGAGAGCTCTGTAGCGACAGGTAAGAAACTCTTTAAACTGTTGAAATGTGGGTAAAATGTTTAAACAAGTGTTAGTACTAATATTTAATTCCCACTGCTTTCGTGATTCAGGGTCTAATTTTAACGTGAGAATATGGATTAATAGTATATCCCAGGATGAAATATTTACTCCAATATTTACCAAAGAATTTAAACATTCAGTCGAAGTATCTAATAATTCTTTAAGAAAATCTGCCGTTTCAGTAACAGCATTTGTTTGACCTAAAAGCCTTGTAAGTATACAGTGAGATAAATATTTTCTATTGTTATACCTGTCCTCAAGTTGCCTCCAACATATGTCATAATTAGTTTCAGATACAGAAATATGCCTTACCAATTGCTCTGCCTCGCCTGTCAAACATCCCTTAAGGTAATGCAATTTCTGCACTTTATCTAAAGATGAGTTATTATGAATCATAGACAGAAATAAATCACGAAAAGTAATCCATTCACTGTACTTTCCTGTAAAAATAGGTATATTAACCTTTGGGAGCCTGACATAGCTTGGCTTAGCACTTGTATCATCATTACTAATGAAAATAGTTTCATTACCCGACCTCTCTGGTATAAAACCTTTTAACAGTTTTGTCAACTCACATTTATGATCTATATACACTTCTTCAGCCTTATCATATATTTCATCAGTAACATAAATATGAATATTCAATTTATCTGGATCTGCTACTTTAAGAAGCTCTTTATGACCAGCTTTAAATTCAGACCATAACTCTTCTATTACTTCTAGTTTACTCTCTATATATTCTATTGTAATACGGCTTTTAGGCGATTTTTTAAAGTTAGTCCTAGCCTTACAAATTCGTGTGTATAGATCATTTTGAACATTAATTAATGAATCCATTTTACAAACGCTAATTACATAAAAAATATTAAGATATAAGAATCTATTCAATTATAATTGCTGTCTTGTCAATTTAAAATTTACACTTATTAATTAAATTCAAAATCTGTAATATATATATTGCTCTGTTGTTTCAATGTAATAAGAACCTATTAAGTAAATTAAACTACAAACATAAACTACAGAGTAAATTAAAATTAAACGAAATTATAGTTTAAACATACAGGCCTCAGACTAATAAAATATAAAATCACTTTACAAATATAAATATAAGTGTATCTTATCCTAATATTGTACGATATTAATCATTTTTGTCTATTTATAAATTTTCCAAATCCTTGTTTCACAAATATCAAAGTCAATACTTTATTGAAAGATTGTTGCAGTTCATCATTTTTGCCACCATATAGATAATAAAGTTAATTTAATTGTATCTTCATTGACTGTTGTTCTCTTCAATTAATAAATTTCGCCTACAATTAATAATTTATGGAATGTACTCACAGTTTCCACTTCACTCACTTATTGATAATCAGATATCACAGCAATATTATTTCTCTGCTTCCTGATAACGACATGTATCGAAATTACTCCGAACAGCGCCTACGTCTACAACTAGCTTGACCACTGATGTCACGAAAACAACGCACTATAGGTACCATGAAGTGACGCCACTGATGCTACTCGTTGTTGTACTATGGACTTGTCCAGCAAAAAACCTTCTGTTTCTTAGTGTAGTCAGGTTATATAGGTAATCAATTTACACTAAACTAAACCAAACTGAATTTAAATCCGGCTCGATTTTGGACCAAATGTTTAATTAGGGAATTTTCTATAATTTCAATGAAAAATTGCAACCTTCTTTATTCTTCTTCTATACCTATAACCAGCTTCTTTATTTTGAACCCTTAAATACTTGTACTGTAGGCACTTCCAACCATTATATCACTTAAAACAAAACCTTTAAAACTGTATTTCAGTAATAAATATGACAATATATATACTTTTTCTATAGTTCGCTTATGGTCTCTATATTATTCTGTTTTTTTTTTTACATTTTGGCGCCAAAGTTATTTCACCTTTTTAAAAGCAACGGAACAAACCCAAACAGCTATAATAATGAGACAATATTCAAAGTGGGATATTTAACAAACATACTATCGCATTTATATCTATAATTATGCAATAGTTCTCATCATCATCATCTCAGTCCGGAAGACGTCCACTGCTGGACATAGGCCTCCCCCAAAGATCTCCACGACGATTGGTACTGCGCTGTTCTCATCCATCGCCTTCCAGCGATCTTGACCAGATCGTCGGTCTACCTTGCTAGAGTGTTAAGTGATATAATAGTTCTATAGAGTCGAAATTAGGCTCTAGCTCGCAGACTAGTTGCTGTAATAAAGACATAGGCTCACCTTTTACAGCTAACCTAGCGGTGTGATTAACTTCCGCAGCGGTGTTGCTTGCCACACATGTGTACTCGCCGCTATGCTTTGATGTAACATGCGAGAAGATAAGGAAACTGAACTCGTCTAATGATTTCTCCTGAACCTGGAAGATATAGACATATAATCAAAACAAATTATTTATTTGCAGTGCTTGGTGTCTGGTTAAATCTAAATATATATAACGCGAAGATGACTGACGTAGTGATCTATCAACGCACAGCTCAAACCACTGGACGGATCGGGCTGAAATTTGGCATGCAGGTAGATGTTATGACGTAGCATCCGCTAAGAAAGGATTTTGATTACTTCTACCCCCAAGGGGATAAAATAGGGGATGAAAGTTTGTATGAAACTTTGTCAATTTTAAACCGATCGGGCTGAGACTTTGCATGCATAAAGCTACTATAACGTAGGCATTCCCTAAGAAAGGATTTTGATAAATGCCACCCCTAAGGGGATAAATTAACGCGAGCGAAGCCGCGGGCAAAAGCTATGCAATAGGTACGTACCTGCAAATTAGAAGGAATATGCTGTCCATCTTTCAGCCAGGAGAAGTACACTGGTTTGTCACCGGATGTGATGCCACATAACACTTGAATGGAACTACCTTCCACGAGGTCGGTTGGAAAATTGAAACCAGCTATTTTTGGCGGATCTGAAATATTAAAACAAATATTTCTTGTTTCATTATGTTGTTGCAGAAATTTGAAATTCAGAATATCTTTATTCATGTAGGTCTATAAAAGACTCTTATGATATGTCAAATACAAAAAAAATATTGATATATAAAAAATTAGACATTCATCAGCGGCTAAAATGACCTACAAATAAATGATTTTGAAATTTAATTTGTAACATATTAGATCAACCTCCACATCTGTGGTTTAGCCGTTAAGTACACTGTCTTACTTTCGAAGGTCGCAGGTTCAATTCCTCGTATAGAATAAACATTTGTATTTATGAGTATATGTTTGTATTGGTTTGTGTTATTTCTATATACAATTGTCCTAGGATATATTAATAATATCATAAACACAAAAGTTTATGAGTACTGATGTTTGTTACTCTTTCACGCAAAAACTACTAAACGGATTTTGATGAAACTTTACAGTAATATAGTTTATGCATCAGAATAACACATAGGCTATATTTATTGAAATTTAACGCGGGTAAAACCACGAGCACAGGTAGTATTTATATTTATTTTTATTACATCTATGTAGAGTTGAAAGGGAGTACACAGCACTTACTTCTAACAAATATTTGAACATCCTTCTGCGCATACTGTCCTGATGGGGACGTCACTCGGCAGGAGTACACTCCTGCATCAGCCGACTCAGCAGGCCATAGCAGCAGTTCACCACCGATACCAGACAGAGCCCTGCCTCCTGTAGAACTCAGATCCAATCCGCCGCGCTGCCAACGGATTTCGCTGAAAGATAAGAATTTCAAGCTATAATCATCATGCATGAGTTAAAAGCTGTAAGAAAGATAACGTTTTAAGTAACTTTAGAATTTTTTTTTAAATTTATTGGACCAATTTTTTATGTTTAAGATTACCAATCTAATGGGAATTAAGTTTTAGTAATAAGATTCTAATGACACTGAGTAGCTTAGTTGTTATATTTGATTAATTTATCTTTAACGTAATCGGTTGAGTTTCATGCCAGTTCTTCTCAATTGAAACAGAGGGAGGGAGGGAGCACTACATTTGGTAGGGGCCAAAAATAACTACACAAATAAATAAAAAAAATATATGTTAAATTACCAAAATTTAAAATTAATATTTTTATACTAATCCATAATCTTTAGCATATGATGACAGTATACGGTACTTACATTAAAATCTATTTAAAAAATTGTTTCTATATCTGTTTGTTCTTGGTAATCTCTGACTGATTTTGACGGGACTTTTACTCGCAGACAGTTAATGTTATAAGTATTAACTTTTATCTTAGAAATTTTATTTAAATTAATAAAAAAATGTTAAACTCCATGTGAACGAAGTCATAGCGAATCTTATATAAATATTTATCATTATCATAGTACAGAATGTAGTAATGCTAATAATAGAAAAGAAAAGAATATAAACTTATATATCTACGGTAGTTATATACAGGATATCTATATGTATCACGAAAACATAACAGGAAATGTTATGCACGAGAATCAAACACACGACTACAAAACAAATGAAAACGGAACTTATAATTTTTCTAAACAAATGCACCTCCATCAACCTGATTGGAAATCCAGAGTAGGGACAGTGGATCGTTGTGTTGAGGCCGGCTACCACGCGGACCGGCCCGATGTTCCTTATTGACGGAGGACCTGGTAAAATATTAAACAAAATAATAAAAAAGAAAACCAATAAATTTTATTAATTAATTAAGTTATTTATTAGGCCATTGGCTTTGCGGCGTGATATTGCATCTCTGAGCATTTTCTACCGCATATATCACGGGGAGTGTTCTGAGGAATTGTTCGGATTAATACCAGCTGCTGAGTTTCACCACCGTACCACCCGCCAGAAATACCATCCTGATCATCTGAATGAATGGCGGTCTTCCACAGTGCGGTTTTCTAGAAACTTTTTGCCTCGCACAACCACATTGTGGAATCACCTTCCAGCAATGGTATTTCCGAACCGATACGATATTGAAACCTTCAAGAAAAGAGCTTATTCCTTTTTAAAAGGCCGACAACGTACTTGCAATTCCCCTGGTGTTGCGGGTGCTCATGGGCGGCGGTCATCACTTACCATCAGGTGAGCCGCGTGCTCGTTTGTCCCCTGTGTTATAAAAAAAAGCCTGCAAAACAGATTACAATCAAAACAATAATATCACGTTAATCACCAGGCCAGTCATATCTGTCTGACGCAAAGTACTATATGAGCCATGTCAGACATATATGTCTGCCGTATACAATTTGGTACAAGGCCACGTCAATCACAGACATCCGTCGCAAAAGGTACATTTACATTATGTTTCGAAAGCTTGAACTATCAGGAACAGAACCTGAAAATTTCTTGGCTTACTTCAAACAATAAAAAAAAACAAGAGGCTTGTCGAGAAAAAAAATTAATATAGGGTCAGTCACATATGTGTGACATAAAAAATAATGTCTTTTCCGGAAAATTTTGGCAAAACAAATTCTGTGATACATTAAGTTTCCTTGATACATTTTTAACTAAATTATCTAATAAAGTTACCACGGCACATATGGACATTTTTCTGATATTGTTGTGGCGATTAACGTGATATAATTAGGAGCGTGTATAGCCCAAGAGAGATGGGTCCCCGGGCATTCAAATGTTGAAGGCAATGAGAATGCCGACCATCTGACAAAGATAGGGGCAAAAACCGTCCAACTGGGCCCCGAACCCTTCTGTGGTGTGCCTCGTTGCCTAAAACTGGGACATCTCAAATTAATAACCAAACGAGATTAAGTGTGTGAATCACTGGCAAGAAATGCCAGGATTAACACTAATTCAAAAGATAATAATCGACCAAAAACATTCAATAGACTACTGCTATTGAGTAAAAACAACATATGCATGATGACTAGGGCCCTCACAGGACACTGCAAATTAAACAAGCATATGGCTAAACTAGGCCTAGGCACGACAAGTATCTGCAGATTCTGCCAAACTGAAGAGGAAACGCCGCTTCACATCCTATGTTTGTAGCCCACTCATGCATAAACGAAATATCTCCTTTGGAAAATTTACACTCTTTTCCGAGGAGATAAAAACGATGTTTAAGAATATCCTTCAATTCTTGTCCCTGACGGGTCTAGGTAGCGAACTCTGAAAAGGGCGAGCACAATAGATCTATGTAGGTCGCAGTGCTACAGGTGCTACACATCTGACAATAGCCCAAACAATCCAATAAAAATAAAAAATAGCCCAAGAGACCACGACTGCCAGACATATGTCTTGTTAGTAAATGTGAAGTTCTTGTATATGTGTCCCCAGCACAGGTAAGAACGATCCCCAAACATAATAAGTTTATTCATAAAATAATATAGTTTAGGGGGGTCCGGCGGGGGGTTGGAACCCTACTGAGTGGTAAGCGCAAGTTATAATACTGTTACGAGCAATTTGTTTTTTTAAATCAACATGATGTAGTATTATTTACCATAAACGTTCAGCCTGGTGGAATGCTCGACCGCTCCCCGAGAGTTGTGAGCTCTGCACGTGTACCGGCCGCCGTCATCAGGTCGCACTGATGACACGTTCAGATAGCTGACCACATCCCCATTGGAATTCATGAACTGGGATATTGACCTGAAAAAATGCAGAACAACTTTATTCAATATATGTATTAATAGAATAAAATTATTTTTTTTATAAATAAACTTGCTGTACACGTGATTTTGTCCGCGTGGAATTGAACTTAATTTTTTAAAATAAAAGTAGCCTAAGTTACTCCTTATTACATCAGATGCCTGCCAAAAAATGTCCCGTCAAAATCGGTCCAGCCATTTCAGAGATTAGCAGGAGCAAACAGACAAGTTTCATACAAATTTAATAAGGAGAATGTAGTGTAGTAATGTTTTTGTCACAAGGAAAATAAATCAGCAGCAGTATAATAAAATGTTGTACATGGCTGTCGCTCTCTCTCTCTCTCTTTGAATTCCTCATAAGGAAGAAAGAGAGAGAGAATATACCTGGCATAAACATAGGTAAATACTAACCTTTGTGGTGTGTTGTGTTCTTCAACTGGTTGGTTATCCAGAAGCCAGGTGAAACGTGGTGGTGGTGAGCCCGACGCCGCGCAGTGCAACGCCAACGAAGGTCCCGGGTGTAGCGCTTGCTCTATGAACGTGTAATGCAACTCGGGTGCAGTGTCTGAAAGAGAAAGCGATATTACTAGATAGATAATGGTGATAGAAAGAAAAGATTTTTGTAAACCCAATGTAGGGTAAATTTTGCTGCACAAAAATGAACTTCATTACCGTCCGTCTCTACGTATGCTTAAATCTTTAAAATTACGCTACGGATTTTGAAGTGGTTATTTTAATAGATAGAGTGATTCAAGGGGAAGGTTTATATGTATAATACATGTACACCTGGTAATTTATAAAACTGATTGTGGTTATTTATAATAACTAACAAAACAAATATATAAATGAAGCGGTGATATCTAGTTGTATATTAGATGTCGCTTGGGTAGCTTGAACAAGTCATTATATCGAAAGAAACGAGATAAATATAATATAAATCTTTAAACTTGTAAATAATGAAGCAAGTGTAACCTGATAACATACTTGCGCCTAAATTTTAATATAAGCTATATATATAAAATTTATAAAACAAAAGGACAATGAACCTAAAACTAAAAACCTTTAAAAATTTAATATAATACTAAAAACTAAAATATATTATCAAAAGGAGTCCCTTTAGGCAACGTTCCGAAGATACTGGCAGTGTTCCCTCTTTGAATGGCTAGACTAATTCTTTGTCCGAGTTAGCTGCCAGCTCGTCAGTCTTTTGTGATATCGACTAACCTTGAGCGTAAATGAATGTATTTACTAATTATTATCGTAAATATATATATGTTTAAATACTATCTAATTTACGTAGGTATATATAGAATTCCAGTGTGGTGTGACAAGAATGGATAAGATAAAGAATGAATACATTAGAGGAAGTATGAATGTGGCGCCGGTGTCAGAGAGGTTGAAGAGTAATCGTCTATCAGGGTATGGACATGTAATGCGTAGGACGAAGGATAATATTTTAAGAAAGGTGTTACATATGAATGTAGATGGTTATAAGGGCAGAGGAAGGCCGAAAAAGAGATGGATGGACTGTGTGAAAGATGATATGGTAAGAAAGGAAGTAAATAACGAGATGACTGCGAACAGGGATGAATGGAAGTGAGAAACATATTACGCCGACCACAAATAAATGGGATAAGGAAGAAGCAGATGATATAGAATACCAGCGTCTTGGCTCCTCGTCGTGGTATACGCTGAGCTTTACCTTTTCGTTAGTACTTCAATTGTATTTGATAATCTTTTTTTGTTTTTTATTATTGCTTACGTATATCACATAAATTCATTTACTTTCTTTATTTATGTTGAGACATATATAAATATTATAAGAATAAAATTAACTTTAATATCATCATCATCATCTGCTTCTTCCTTATCACATTTATAGGCGTAATATTTTTCTCTTCCGTTCATCTCTGTTCGCAGTCATCTCGTTACTTACTTCCTTTCTTACCATATCATCTTTCACACAGTCCATCCATCTCTCTTTCGGTCTTTCTCTGCCCTTATAACCATCCACATTAATATGTAATACCTTCCTTAGGATATAATCTTCATTCCTACGCATTACATGCCCATAAAATTAACTTTAATAAGATTACATAATAAATATTACATATGTATTTGTTAGCGCGTGAGTGTGTGCGTGTATGTGTGTGTGTGTGTGTAAGAGAGAAAAAGAGACACAGAGAGATTATAATTGTAAATACGCTAGAGTACCAGTGGATCAATTAACTCATACTGAAACTGATACAACTATGGTATTTATACAATAGTATTTCTTGTCTATGGATTATTGTATATATTAACCTCATAATTAAGATAGCGAACAGCTTGTGTCTGAAATCGAGAGTACTCTTACCAGAGTCTCCGATTGGGGGCGACTGAACTTAGTTCAATTCAATCCTACTAAGACACAAGCCTGCGCGTTCACCGCTAAGAAACCCCCTTTTTCTGTGGCTCCTCAATTCCAGAACACGTCTGTTACCATCTCTAAGAGTATTGGGATTCTCGGTGTCGACATCTCTAGTACTGTTGAGTTCCGCAGTCACCTGGAAGAAAAGGTAAAGCTGGCGTCCAAGAAACTGTGCTCAATAGAGCGAGGCGGTACTTCACTGCGGCCCAGAGACTACTCTTATATAAGTCACAGGTTCGGCCGCACATGGAGTACTGCTCTCATCTTTGGGCGGGAGCACCTGGATATCAGCTCGGTCCTTTTGACTCGGTTCAGAGACGTGCTATGAGAATTGTCGATGATCCCAATCTCTCTGGCGGTATCGAGCCACTTAGCTTGAGGCGAGACTTCGCCTCGCTTTGTGTGTTCTACCGATTATACAACGGACTGTGTTCTGAGGAATTGTTCGACATGATGCTGACAACCACCCTTTACCACCGCACCGCTCGCCATCGACAGGGAATTCATCCCCACACACTGGAACCTAAGTGGTCCCGAACAGTGCGGTTTCCTCCCGCGTACACTTAGATTGTGGAATGAACTTCCTGCCGAGGTTTTCCCACGAGACTACAGCATGGGGTTTATCAAGAAGGGTATATTAAGGTTTCTTAAGGGTCGGCAACGTGCACGTGATACCCCTGGTGTTTCATAGGCTACGGTAACCATTTACCATCAGATGGACCGTATGCTTGATTGCCACTATGGTAATATAAAAAAAAAGATAGCAGGGTATTTGAATCTTAGCTCAGGCAATAAAAAACTAGCCATTTAATAATCCTCACATATATTATATGCAGCTCAGGCGTTGGTTAATAACAGAAACATTATGGTATGTGATAAACGAGCTCCATACATCGTACCCGCGCTTTGTTTATTGCGCTGGATTCCGTGCTGATTGGATTTTGTTTTGACATCGCTGATATATTGAGCTCACTACCGTGCTCCTGCGGTTTTGTTTATATACGTTTCTTTATGTGTAATCGGAGCAAACAACATAAATAACAATTTAGTTATCAACAACATGTGAGAAGAACCAAGGCGTCGCAGTATAGCTTATATTTTGTTCTAATACATGTATAAAATTTCAAGGAGCTGTAATATATAGTATATATATATATACAGTTGCATTACATAGCATAAAACAAAGTGGGTGTCGTTGCCTGTCCGTCCCTATGTATGCTTAAATCTTTAAAACTACGCAACGGATTTTAATGCAGCTTTTAGGATAGATAGAGTGATTCAAGAGGAAGGTTTATATGTATAACACATGTACACCCGGGCGAAGCCGGGTCGAGTGGCTAGTAGCTTATATATTTATCTAATACATATATAAAATTCTCGTGTCACAGTTTTCGTTCCCATACTCTTCCGAAATGGCTTGACCGATTTTGATGAAATTTTATATGTATATTCAGTAGGTCTGAAAATAGGTTTATAACTAATTTTTATACCCCAATAGTTAAGGGCGGCTCAACCCAAATTTTTTTTTTTTTTCGTCTTTTTTTTTTATTTTTTAATGAACAAATATAATGTGCCATTAAAAATACATACAACCCTAAATTTTCTAGCATCGACTCCTATTTTTTAATTGCGATTTTAACTATATATTTATATGGTAAAACAGGTTTGAGGGGACAGCTAGTAAATAGATTTTATATATAAGATTGTAACATATACAGTTTACTAGCTGTCCCAGCAAACGTTGTTTTGTCTTAAAATAATAAAAAAATTAGGGGTGAACTACCCCTAACATTTAGGGGGATGAAAAATAGATGTTGTCCGATCCTCAGACCTACTCAATACGCTCACAAAATTTCATGAGAATCGGTCAAGCCGTTTCGGAGGAGTATGGGAACGAAAACTGTGACACGAGAATTTTATATATTAGATATATTTTTATTACAAAAATGTAGCAGAACCAGTAAAATTATAATATTCCAAATTGTAGCCCCTCTTTATAGCCGGGTCCGGAAGCCGGATGCTGGTGTTGGCGATTTGTCACAACTGGGTAGAAGCACAGAATATATAACAGTCTCCAGACAGTCCACACATAATGTAGAAATCATGATCTGTAGACTATTAATATAAGTAGGTCTAATATCATTATTAGAACTATGTGCATCATAAAATCAAATTCAAAAATAATTTATTCATATCGGACGTTTTAGTCGTTTATGAACGAAAAATTTTTATAACTGTAATTTTTTCCCTACCGTCCAGTATTGAGTAGGTCTGAGAATCGGCCAACATCTATTTTTCAGCCCCCTAAATGTTAGGGGTAGTTCACCCCAAATTTTTTTTTTATTTTAAGACAAAACGTTTGCCGGGACAGCTAGTATATATATATATATACAATTTTATTGCCATTACTGACATATCATTCTTTTTATAGATAAACAGAAAGAGGTGGGGTACCTCTCAGACGACTTTGTTGACTTTTTTGATCTGTCAAATTGTTTCCAACATATACAACAGACTGTAATAATGACGGAATCGTCTGTCCCGGAAAACGTTGTTTTTCGGGACAGCTAGTACTAAATAAAAAGCTAAAAAACTTATCCTAATTATCACATGATTGAATTACAAATTTCTTAAAGTTATTTTAGTTATGCATCAAATATTATTTTATGAGCGTGTATCACTGTGACCTAATGAAAATCTAAACATCATTTTGGTAAACGTGATCTATATAACGCTGGTGAATTCCATTTAATGTAAAACGAGATCAACGTCGTTCTTTGTTTCGAGTTCACGCTGAACTCCGTTTCGTTGAACGTGTTTATACTACGATTGGTGAAATCCAGCCTAAGTCGTACTTGTAAACTACTAACCTACACAGTATATATGACTGTTAAAATCCCTAAAATCCAATTTCCCAGGTCCAAACACGGCGAATGGACTTAGACCGGATCCCAAATAAGCGCCATTAAATTTTTCCAATGCAAATAGCTTTAATAGTCGTGTTCCCTAATTGATCTGCCTTCGAGAGCTTACGGCGCTGAGAAGGGCAAATCAGAAAAGGGAAAAAACACTGTTTATTTAGGACACTGGTTTTTGTAATCGTATCTACAGGGTGTTTAAATTGAAATCGAAATGCTTCTTATACAAATGAGAGA